ACAAATAAAATGTATGATTATATTGAAATAAATTGCCAATTGAGTTGCATACACTAAGAAAATCTATTTTGCATTTGAAAAGCATTTAAAATATCTATTTACCCATTTACATTTAAAATAGATTCGAAAAACCTATTTTAAATTTTGCATTTTAAATACCTTTTTAAAGTATTTTGTATTTGGCATTTTAAATATATAATTCGAAAAGCATTTTACCCAGCCCTGTCGTATTTTCATGTCTACTTTATTTCTCCGGGTGTTGCATGTCAAAGAAGCGACGATGCTTGATATTGTTTTGTTTATTAATAAAGTGTAATCCTGCGTCGATTTGTCAGTTTAATTGTGTTTGCGTGTTATTTTCAAAAGAGTTTGTATTTTTCAAAAATTTTCAAATTGTTGGATAAGACAATAAAATGATTTAATTTTTGTAAGACGCGGACATCCCTAGTAAAAAAGAACTATTAGTGCAGTAAAAACACTACTGAAATGTAGTAGTGTCAGTGCTATAACAGCAGTGCCACTACTACATTTCAGTAGTGTTATCACTGACTTAATAGTTTTTTTTTTTACGAGAGATCCATTAGCGTTGACATGTCGACATCACGAGCGCATGAGCAGATACGTGCGCTTCCGGTTATCGTACAAAGCCTTTTGGTTATTGTACAAAGATGATCGTGTGCCAGCCGCTAATTGAGAGCCGTGCGATAGACTCACCTCCGATAATTAAGCACACGGGCTAAATATATTTTCATGCCCAGTTACAAGAGGATTTGCCTCGAATAATTTCTATTATTTACTCTTATCACTGTGTTTGCGATAATTATATTTGTTCATGTTTATTGAATAAAAAATGTTGGATTAAAACAAGAAATATACAGTGTTAATCAGTGCTCGTGTTCACATGCTCCTGCTATCACCTCGCCTACTAAGTTCCAACACAAATCAAATGAACTTGTAAGGTCAAGTTGAAAAATCGATAAGTAATACTCATTTTTTACTCTCTCTGTTAATAACTCTGTAAAAAGTGAAGACAACATGGAAACTGAAGAACACAGAACACCTATACAAAGCTTTTACGCTGGACAGTCGATTTTCATTACAGGTATTTAAGATGCAAGTGTAATAATAAAGTATAATATTAGTTTTAAGATAATTAAGACTGTTCGATGTTCCTTTCTTCCTCTTTTTTTTTCTTTTGTGGAGACACTGACAATTACCATCGTAAATAACAGTATATATTATCATATATAATATATGTATAATATATATATATATATATTATACATATATTATATATACATTACTTTTTTATTTTATTATTTTGCAGGAGGTACCGGCTTTCTTGGCAACACGTTGACAGAAAAACTGTTACGAAGTTGCCCCGATATTTCTATGATATATCTGCTGATACGGTCGAAAAAAAATACGTGCCCCAAAAGCCGACTGAACGAAATGTTTGAAAAACCCGTTAGTATTAAAATAATCATACCAAAACATGATATCAAAAGTCGCAGTAGCGTTTCCCGCCAAATATATTTTCTTGTTATTTCATAATTCATGATGAAGCAGATAACGCTATCTATCAGATAATACGCTATTGCGTATCCTTTACCTGACGAATAACACTTATATAAATAAATGATTATTTTTAAATTTTTTTAAGTATATTAATATTATATTTATAAACCGTTGTTAATATATATCTGTAATCTATATATATATCTGTAGCTTTATGATCGATTGAAAAAAGAAGTACCCAATTTTCGCAAAAAAGTCGTGCCAATTGTAGGTGATTTAAATATCAAAGACTTTGGATTGTTAGAAAGTGACAAGAACATGTTGATAAACGAGGTAATTAATTCAAACCACATTCGTTATTCTCTCGCCTATACTATTACATTTTAATGCAAAAAGTTATTATATATCTAAACAAGTATCTACATATTTTATATATATTGCTTATATAATTATAATCATCGTCACAATTAGAAATAAATTCTGTTTTCTTTTTATCTATTTTTTCTATATAGAATTGTAACGGTATATTTATTATAGGTGTCTATAATTTTTCACGTAGCAGCGAATTTACGTTTTCATGAGAAAATAAAAATTGCTACAATGATAAACGTTAATGCTACCGCTACTATCTTAAAACTCGCAAAGCAAATGTCAAATTTAAAGGTAATTCTTTCACCTGATAATATTTTGATAATAATAAGTAGCAAAAATAATTGATATTGTAAAATTGATTTAGAAAACATAAATTAAATTTAACGTTTATTTTGTAGTTATTTATTCACGTGCTTATTGATGTTTATTGCAGGCATTTGTTCATGTATCAACAGCATATGCGAATTGTCATGTAAATCACATCGAAGAACGATTCTATTCGTATCCCATTAATCACCAAGATCTCATCATGTTTACACAAAACTTACCCGAAAACATAATTAAAAAGAAAATATCTAGGTAATATTATTATCTCGAATATAATAAAGTAATTAAATGTATTGCTACAGAAAGTTAAACTATTATTTTGGCAGAGTCATATCACAATGGCCGAATACATATACATTTACGAAAGCGATTGCGGAAGGGTTTCTCAAAAACGAAAGCGAAGATTTACCAGTTGGAATATTTCGACCTGGAATAGGTAATAAAACAATTAATTAAAAAACAATAATAATGAAAATTAGACTAATAAGTAATTTTAACATAAACAAAAAAGAAAGAAGAACCTTTATTCGGTTTATAGCTTAATAGCTGTTAATAGCTTTTCTTAATTTTATATGTTATGGAATATTCATTAGGGGTCTTCATTAGTGTTTATTTGTACGAAGTATATAAAAGATTTTTTGGTAAAAAATTTTTTAATCACCTTTGTATATAATTATTTTCAACTGATTTGCACAATTAGTTAATTATGAAATTGTATAATTCTACAATAATTAAAAACAATCGAAAAAGATCACGCGCGTGCGCGTATATACATGCATGTGTGTATGTGGGTGTGTGTGTGTGTATCGCATTTAATCAAGTTTTATTCTTCTGAATATACGAAGAGAATTAATTAATACTCCTTTCAGTCATATGTAGTGCTAATGAACCACTCGCCGGATGGATCGATAATTATTATGGGCCGATAGGTTTTACAGTGTATTTACTTCGTGGTTATACAAGAATTTTCGGTTGTAATGGCGATCTCAACGCTAATCTAGTGCCCGTCGATTTGACCGTAAACGCTTTAATCGCTAGTGCATGGGATGTCTTTAACCAACGTTGCAGGTATGATCTATTATAACATCATTGCAACTAGTTTAAAAATCTTATTTCTACTATTTTGTTTTAAATATGATTTTTTATCAGTCATTATATTACATTTCAATGCTTGTAACAGACCGACATCAGGTACACATAACAATAATAAATTGACTAATTAATCGATATATATATAATATATGTATATCTGCTATGCTTACAAACCATTTTTATATACAATTATTCTTGGCTCTGATACATAAAATCAGGGATCGGTAAAATAACTGATACAATTTATTTAAAATATAAAATATAAAGAAATATAAAATATATTCCAGAAACTTATTTAAAATAAAATATCGCAGAGGCCAATAAAAAACTGATACAACTTACTTAAAATGAAAAATATAAAATAGATTCCAAAAACATATTTAAAATATTA